TTTTTCCACTGGTTCTTTAAGTTCTGCTATAACATTATTTTGCTCTGTTAGCTACTTTTTACTTAAGATTACACCCTGCTTTACTTAAACAAGAACCGCTTCTTCATTCAGTTATTCATTAAGAAGAAATGTCTGACCGGTTCCAGACCCACTTTTCTATCAATGAACATTTTTATTTTTTATTTTTTGTCGGATCCAAAAAGCATTTTAAATGCATCATCTTAATGTGATGTGTTTCCCCCACAATGTTCTCGTTTATTAGCATATGAATAATCATTAAACTAAAGAAATGAGAAATCCTCATTAACTGCACCCCTTGTTATTCATACTGAAACTGCAATTAACATTCTTGTGTTTTCAAGTCTCTGCAAATGACTGACCATAGATTTTTAATGTAGAACTTTAAAATGCTTATAGTTTACTGAAATAGTGCTATATATGTACACATATTAATACGTTTGCCAGCTGTCAGTTCCACTGGAGGTCAACATGATGAGGCAACAGAGGCTTCTAAAACAACATACAAAACACACAGCAGAGTAACCTACAGCACACACACACACACACACGCGCGCACACACACACACACTAATTGTGTTGAACCTGACAGCTGGCATCCTGTCGTCTTGTACCTTTGACACAGTGACTCCTTTTCAAGCCAATTCCACCCTAAACTGGGTTTATTCCAACTCATCAGAGTTCCAACTGTGTTAACTGACTCCTCACATCACCAGATATGTTGCTCTCCTGTTACCCGCCTCATGCCAGAGTGTGTCATAGAGACTGCCTTAACGGGCATCATTTCTGAGATGATGTCAAACAACAATGGCACGCACAAAGTTATGATGCTCAGTGGGGCCACAGCGAGTAATCTGCTCCCTCCTTTAATAACTATCTGGAGATAGCATGACATTTCCACTCAGTGCTGTCACATAGCAACAGCTTTTTCTTCAAGTAAAGAGCCGGTCTAAATTTGGATTGAAAAATTAAAATGATGTTTGTGGTGTATGATTAATCTGCTTCATCAACATGAATTAAACATAGTTTTATTTAGAAGTGTTGTGTTGCTGAATATTATTTGAGCTTCAGTAAGAATTTACAATTTTCAAGAGTTCAGGAATGCTCGTAAAGCACTTGTAAAGTAACAAGTAAAAACTTTTTTTTACTTTTTACTTGTTTTTAAATAACTGTCTGTGTAGTCAGTTTTTATCATTAATTGGGACTACATACTGGTGATAACTTATGGCCTCTTGTTGGAAGCACTTGCATTTTTAGCGTAACACACTTCTTCCATGCACTTCTAAAAATGTAGACAACTTGTGAGTGTGAGCTGCACGTCTGAAAGCAAACAGCGGATATTTTTTCACCCTGACCTTATCTGTACTTTTTTTCTACAAGCATCTTAGTAACATTTCAAAAAGAAGTCAGAATAAGCCAAGGTGTGAACGCAGCAGGAAATATTAAGGAAAATTCCCCGGGGATGGATAGAGATGATGACATTATAATCATGCAACAGGTGTGAAACCTAGGGGGTTCTTGATGCACGGAAAGAAGCTTCTTCAAACTCTTTTCTGCTTGTCATCATGTTCCTCACCACTCATCTGTTGATACTGTTAATATTTCCCATTCAATTACACATAGCAGTCATATAAAAGCAAAAACTGTCATTGTACTGATGATGCTTTGTCAGTCATCTTGAATATGTTTTAAACAGAGCACTGTGAATTCCTGAGACCCCCCCCTCTAATCCTACATAATAAATCACATATGGATCATTGTGAAAGGTTAAATCAGACAAAGGCAGACTGTCCTGACATTTTCTCAAGGTCAAATGCTCTGAGTGTAAGTGGCGACTTCTTTATGCAAACTTTCATTGATTCGTCTATCATTCCGCAGTAGTTGATATGCAAGAGAGAGAAACGGAGCTCAGATCAAACATTTTTTAACTCATGTAGGATGTAAAGTGGTGTGACTTCCTTTCCCGTCCATGCTTGTGTTTTGAGCTGCAACCCTGCTCTACAAAAAACATACAACTGTTGCTTATCACCACTGGTGTCTTCAAAGAAAGCGAAGCAAATATTGTTGCTAAAACTCAACCTGTGGGGTCTTCATAAGTAACTTACACTTAACATATGAAAAAATCTCTTCTCAGATCTTCTCATTCTTTGTTGTGAGGTGGTTGGTAAATTGGCTGGATTGGATTAATGACTCAAGTATTTCAGAAATCCTGGCTACAGCCCTAATGAGATTTTCTTAAATAGAAATGAATTATCACAATAAAAAAACAACATAACAGGTAAAGTCCTGCACTCAACATATTTCATTCAGTAAAAGTACACAAGTCCCAACAGCTTGTACTTAAAAGTATCAGTCAAGTACTTGTTATGCAGAAACAAGTGAGTAATATCAGTGGATTATTCATGCTGATGCAACTGGTTGAGGTTGCATTGGGTTGAAGTCGAGTTAATTAGAAATATTTGAGATACTCTTAGATAGTAACAGTTGTTAAATTAATATATGAAACTAAAAAGTAGAGTATTTCCATCTGGCATGTAGTCTAGATTGCTTGAGATGAAACAATATGTTTGCTGAAGGACTTAAAGAGTAATAGCAGCATTCAGTATTTGTGATTAAAAAAAAAAGAAGTAAACTAGCTCAACCTTAAACAAAGCTGTATTTGTACAATGTCTTCATAGTGCAAAAGAACAAGTTTTCCATATGGCTGCGACAACACAGCAGCACAGATCTACCCGAGTCACCGTGGTGATAGGATCACATGCTCACCATCGCCGGCCGTGACTCAACTCGGAGGTGGGTGTCTGAAAGCTGTCACACTTACACACTCAAGCATCCTACCTAATCATCCACCTACTGAGCCACACAGCAGGGGAGCAGCGGAGAGGCAGAGGAGACAGACTGAAGGAGAGGCAGTTAACATGAGAGGAAGGGTGATGAGCTGGAGGAGGAAGAGGAGGAGAAAGTGGAAGAAACAGTCAGACAAAGACTTGTGGATGGAAGGAGAAGGCCAAACGAACGCCTTGTTGTTTGTTTATAAGCAGACGTCCCCTGACTCATCTGAGTGAGAATGAATGGCGGGAGGAAGATGATGTGGCTCCTCTCTCTCTCTCCCTCCCCCCTCCATCAGCAACAGGTCTGCAGGGTGAGAACTTATCAGCAGGGTGTGAGGACACAGGGTGACACTCTGCCGCCCTCACCCACATGACGTACTCTCACTCAGACTGTCAGCGGTCACTGGGCTAAAATTGATCCAGTTCAGGTCAATATGCAACAGTGACTTGACTGTGAGGTCTGTTGTCTGTTGACTTATTCAAAGCATTATGATCTCAAAACCATAAATGTAACATTTTGTTAATTGTTGTCATGCAGTGTAAAAATAAACCGATAATGTTTTGATTGTTAACCTTCAAACAGACAACAATCGATAAAAAAGTAACATTTGACAATCAGATTGGTATTTTGTTGTTTATTTTCTAATGAATTAAACATCAAATGACCTTATGCTACTTGAATAATTTAAAAAAGTCTGCAAATTGAGTGGCCGCACTAAAGTATCATTACCCTGATCCAGTGTGTGAGACAAGCAAGAGTTTCACCTAATACAGATTGTAGAATTAATCCTGTGTATGACATTTTTACACGTTTGCACACATCATGTGTATGACATTTTTTATTTATAGCCCCATCAACAATACATTTTATTCTGGCTTCATCTGGTGGTATTTCTTCTGATTATTTGACTAATTGTTGGATCAATACAGCATTAGAAATCATTAAATCAATCTCAATAAAAATTGTATTTTTGCTCAGTCAGCAAATTAAATGATAGATGGATAATAAAATAAAGCTCCTTTCAGTTTTTTGTTGCTTGACAAATTCATTAAAGGGCTTATCATTTTATCTCCAAAACATTTTGTACTACAGGAAGTCACAAAAACCACCACAGTGATATAAGCAGATAGTACTTACACTGTGGGTACAGCCTCTTTGTTTAGATTTGTGATTGGTTTATGATTTTCTGTGTGAAGAAAACTCAGATGAGTTGTTGATATATTAACTCAGACCCGGTTACTGTTCTTTAGCTTTAAGTTTGTAGGAAGTGATTGAAGATCAGTGTATGGGGAAACAAAGCGTTAGAAAAACAACAACAAAGTAAACGTTTAATTAGTTTATATGAAATCAAAAAGTATTCAATTCACGATTTTCAAAATGAATATGAATCCATAAACTAATAGAATAAATGACAAAGTGTTTTATCATAATTCATTTAATTAGGATTAAAAAAAAGTACTTACCAATAAATGAATGATCCATCAGTATTCAGAGTATAGAAGTAAAGAATTAATGTACTGACATAAAACTGTAGAAAAAATAAACTATCAAAGCTGAAAAAGAGAAACGGTAAAAAAACATAGAAGTAAGTTGCCCTCATAAATGCCAGATTAAAATATTGTTGTTGTTAATTTGTCTTTAAAACTGAGAAATTGATTTGAAAGATTTCATTAAATTACATTTGATTTATATGTCAGTGGTGTATTTGATAATTGTCATGTTATGTTTTCACTTTACATTATATTTGATGGAGTAATGTTGACAACTTTAAATGATTTCATCTTTTTTTTTACTATTATCAAATTCAATCAACATAAAACAGATTCATAAAACATTAAAGTAAACCATTAGTGACTTACTTTTAATTATGAAATAATAATAGATAATATAGAACAGATAATTAGATCGGTTCATGACACTCCTGGTCTTCCATTTCTGAAAGGGGAAAAAAAGCAACAAACTCAGCAGTCCAAAAAGGATGACTGATTCTGATATTTAATCTAACACCACCCTCTGCTGATTGAAACATGGAATGACAAGTTGAAGTGCACAACAATTTGACGCTCAAGCCTTCAATAAAAAAGTCTAGTATAAAGCTTAACTGTAAAAAAAACGGACAAACAAAACACGAGGCGGGAGGGGGTCATCTGTACAGTTTTTGTCTCCTGTTTTATTTGGATGAATGAAACACTTTCAGTTACAAAAATGACTTAAAATGAACAACACTGTACAATGAACAAGTAGAGTTATTTTTCTTCTTTTTTTGGTTTTCAAGATAAATACACTAAAAGGCTAAATGCTACCACAAGGGAGGAGGAGAGGGGGGAGACAGAGAGGAAGGGGAGGGAGGGAGAGGGGGAGACAGAAGGGGAGGACTGCTCACATGATGGAAGACACAAAGGGAGGGGTAATGGCAATGCAACCATACCTGTACACACACCAACACACTCACGCACACACACTATGGGACGCAGGGTTTTTGTCGTGTCAGGGGGGATTAAAGCTACATGTGAAAGAAGTTGGCAAACATTACTTTACAGTTGACAGTCATGTGTGGGGGCTTGTTGTCTGAAGAACAAGGAATCTTTTTGTCTTTTTTTTGTGTGTATTATGCCACACCCACACCCACCCCACCCTGCTGTCACGCACACACAGGCTCGCAAACAGGTGGAATTGTAAGAGAGAGAAGCCCCTCCTTCCCCTATTTAACAGCTAACAAGAAAAAACTACCAGAGAAAATCTTCCCTTGGTTTTAATGTTTGACTGCTCACTCTTTCTCTCTCTCACGCACACAAACACACACGCACGCACACACACACACACACACACACACACATACAGAGGCATAGACACAAACATTCAGGGTCTAAGGTCAGACAGGTAGACGTTAGGACCAAACATCAGGTAGAACAAATGAAAAAGGGGGGAGGGATTGATGATGGGAGTAAAGTGGTACTCTGGCAGCACGAGCAGAAAGGACGAGAACTTAAGAAGGATCAGAACAGCTACAAAGATACCAAGAGAAACTTCATTATCATTATCATCATCATCATCATCATCATCATCGTTGTTGTCGTCGCTGTCGTTGTCATCATCATAATTATGAGAAGCTTAAGATTATTTTTCCAATGACAAATACTTAAAAATATACATTTCATCATCATCTTAATTATGATCATTATTATTATTATTATTCCCCTTTGGATAGCTGAGGTTAGTGCTTCACAGACCGGCTCGCTAGGTGACGAAGAGGAGAAGAAGAGCAGAAAGAAAAGGATGGATGGATGGATGGAGAGAGAGAGAGAGAGAGCGAGAGAGGTGAAGGATTCAGTGGAGTTGAAGAAAGGTTGAGGAGAAGGTCAAGTTAGAGCTCTTTGGTTTTATTCTTTAACATCTGACTCGCTTTGCTGTGTTGCTGGAGAAACCTTTGGACTAAAGCTGTATTGTAGAAGAAAGAGAGAGAGAGAGAGAGGAAGGAATGAGAGAAGGAGAGGAAGAGCATGATTGTGTGGATGAGAGTGGGTGGAGGAAGAAGTTGCGGTTTGTTCAGTTGTTTTCTTTGCTTGCCGTGTCTCTCCTTCTCCAACAACAATCACATTTCTCATGCTGTCGTGTCCAGAATGATTATCTTTCTGACTCATTTTTCTAGATGGTTCAAATCAACTTCAAGCACTGATTGGTTGTTGCACATTTTCAGCAATAAACTTATTCAATTTCCGGCCAAGAAATAGTTAAACCTTGACACTACTTCCTTTATGGTAAAAATCAAGCTGCACTTCGACGGTTTTCCTCGCGTCGCATTAAGACTGGAAACAGGGGGACAGGTCTGACCTTGATCCCTGTCAGTGAGGTGGAATGTATGAATCATGTTACTGAATCAAACTGTTTGATTCACTCATATTCAAAGCAGTTTTTTTTCCATCTTGTTCCAAGCTCAGTGAAAGAATCTACACCTACAGCAAAAGACAATGACTTTCCAATAATAAGTCTGATTTAGAGTGAGGAGAGCTCCACAGCTATGAGCCACTAATCCTGAATAGTAGAGTTTGGTTTGAATAAGAGTTTTTAAACTTCTACGGGCAACAATTCTGCCTGCTAGTACCTGTAAAGCTCACTAAGAAAGGTTTCAAATTCCCCTTTCCACACTGAACAAAACCCTCACTTTAAAATTGTGGTTTTATTGTTTGATTATTTGATTATGTATAACTTTGCTCGAAAACTTCCAACCTGTTTGCATTGACTGGAAATCAGTGTGGGCCGAGTCCTGCTTTTATTTTTACTTGATTAGTAGTCCTCCATACCTACTAGCGGTAGACTTATATTAATGTCCAAGACATGAGTGTGATATCAACTTTTCTTTTAACTTTAGTAACAAAATGGATACAGGTTTCTACTAAAAAGAAATCTTCTAATTTTTTCAGATTTTTTGTTGCTTGTAGAGAATATGTGAAGGCGTGGAGAAAGAGTTTCTGAAACACTTTGGTGGACGTCAGGATTTCAGGGAGCGTGTACATCATGCTGGATCTGGTGGCAGGGCATTAACTTTGGTATCATTCACTAAGGGGGTATCCCCACCACAGAGACCTGCGCTTCACACTCAGTCCCTTAAACCCTGAAGTCAACCAAAAAAAGTTTCATTTCAGAAACACAGCAGCGAAGCAAAACAAGAAGATGGACTCACATGTACTCTTCTCCCTCCAACTTCTAGACTCTCTTCACACACACGAGTTGTGAGGAGTGTGTGTATGCGTCACCCAGCTATCCCGGTCTCAGCCGTTCCCCAGGTACCTGCCCTACAGCGCTCCCTGATACACTCGGACATCAAGTGGTCTATTTGCCCGCTCATCAGGCAAAGGAGACCTAAAGGCGAGAGAGGGCACGGCGACCTTGCTGATAAAGTTGCTCTCAGACACACAGCTTTTTTTTTTAAAGCTTGAAATTATACCAGATCTGATCCTAGATCTGTGCCAAAGAGCAGCTTTAAGCCCACAGTCCTCAGTGTTTGACAGGGAGGGAGCAGTGAGGGTCAGATCTGAGGAGAGGGCTGTGTTCAAAGCTCAACACAGACAGCGGGGGGTGTTTTCCAGGGGGACAGGGTGTGTGTGTGCGTGCGTGTGCGTGTGTGTAGACAGGCGCATGAACCAGTGCAGGCCTTTGACCTTAAATGTCTCCCTCTGCAATCTATTCAATGATCTGTTACTCTGCAGATCGATCCCAAACATCTGTGTTATCTCTATTAGGTAAGCCTCACTGTGTCTGCTTCCAGCCTCACAAACACACCATCCACACAAACCATCCCGGCACCCTGATCCCCTCTGTAACCCCGCATTTTAAAGCATTCATCTATTTGGTTTATCATCAAAGATTATGAGGTATATGATGAACTATCTCTCTTTTACATCCTACAGTGGATGAAGAATTTTTTTCAAAGGAACTCAGAGAAAAGTTGAAACAAAAACATTTTTTTTAAAACAAATCTAAACAAAAAGGAGAGCGAGATGAAGTGAGAAGTTGAGAGGCTGATTTACAGCTGGGAGCTCTTCTTCTCTCTTCATCTTGTCCATCATGTTAAAAAAAAACTTGAGCGTTGCCTCCGTTGATCTTCTTCTGTGTTTTTGGTTGTGTAGCTGTAAAGATTTTTGTCAACTTTCTCCTGGGGAGAAAATAAAGAGGACAGAAGCAGCACTGTGTCTCAACCAACACCTCTTTCTACAACACATGAATTCAATTCATGCTTTTCCTGTTGAATCAGAATGTAAACTTTTTCTCTTTATATCAGGAGCCATGAAGACATGACCCCCTGGAAAGCATTTACAGATATAATCCCCCCGCCCCCATAACTCACAAGGTGTTGATCCACACAGTGCTGACTCCATACTGTGAGATTACGCTTCCTATTAAAGGAAACTTCATCTCAGTGAGGAAGAGAAGTTGATTATGGCCGACATCAGATCAGCCATATTCTCTTGTTAAGTCCCTACAGGAACCCTGGTTGCATTTCTTGTATTATTTGGTTTAAAGAAGTAAGAAAGAAAGTCAGCGAGGGGCAAAAAAGGAAAAAAAGAAAATCATAAAAAGTACATCCCAGAATATGAAAAAGCACCTCTACAAATAAATTAACAAATAAATAGCAAGACACGCAAACAAATCAAAGCTACCCTGAATAAATAGTACAATCAAAAGTCTAAATCATCTTCAGAAGGTGAAATAAAAAAAAGTCCAAAGAGAGATAGTTTAAATTTTTGGTCTAAAATCAAGTTATTATCATCAATGTTTTTAGGATCTTTTTTTTTTCTCTGTCTTTTTTGTAGGTTTTTTTTTTTCATTTTAATACATTAGCGATAAGTAAGCAGTAGAACATAGATCTTTTTTTCTACAAAATCTATAGAAGCACTAACAGATACATTCCGTCTAAGAGTCCATGTGGAGAGAAGGTTTCACCTTCCTGGTTTAAAACCCCCTACCCCACATCTAAAGTTTGGTTCGGGGTTCGATTCTCGCGTGTGTGTCGACTGTTTTTTTCTGGCGTGGATCAAACCAAATATTCTTTGGATATGTTTAATGTCCGACTCTCAAACCGTCGACTGTGCCTGAGGCCTGCGCTGAGCGTATTCATCTGCAGCTGAAGTGTTTACTTTGTCGCTGGGGTCAGGATTAATGACAAGACATCACAGCAGACCCTTTTTCTTTTTTAACCATTTCGGTTTCTTATAAACACAAACAGAAAAACCCCTCACGCTTCACCTCAGGCATAATGACTGGAACCCTCGTGTAGAGAGGGCACTTCCTGTTCCTCTCCACTGTGTTTGGTTTGGTTTTGTATTTGGTTTGGCATCGTTAAAGTTTGCTATTCAACTTTTTGCTTTTGGCTTTTTGTGTCTCTATTTTAGATCTGCCAAGACAGTCTGTTTCTTTATCTAATAAAAATCTGGAAGCTAAATTTTCACAGTTTTTTTTTTCTCAACCACCTGATAAAAATCTCTAGCACGACTAGGAAAAAAATAAGGAGCTCTTGTAAGTAAGTAAGCGAGTAAGTTATTCCAAATGAGTTAATAAGCACTAAAGTACAGTACATAAAACAGCATCAAGAGACACGGCAGAGATCAAAACAATCAGAACCAACCAACAGAAAAATAAAAACAGATTTTTTTTTCTTTAAAGAAGATTTCAGTTCAGTGAGGTCATTTGCGTTTAGCTCCATCCAGGACCAGAGAGAGAGCTGAGCTGGAGAGGGAGAGAGGCAGAGGAGGGGAGGAACTGTCTGTCCTTTTTTTCCCCCCTGCTCACCTGTCTATCTGCCTGTCTGTCCATCGTTGCTACACAGTTTCAGAGCGGGGCGAATGCTTACAGACAGACAGACAGACAGACAAAGAGGGATGCACTTTGACCTCCTCCCCTCCTCCCTCCAGCCACATTTGGTTAAGGGTTCTTTTTGGTTTGCTTCGGTCATTCCTTGGGTTTTTGGTTTGCGTTTATTTTTGGTATCCTTTTACAAAAAAAAGTGTGACGCCTGCTGCCCCTCACTACAGCGTGTCCCCTCCAAGTGCACCCTCATTCTGGGGGTTTCGGAGTAAAGGAACAGTTTCCTTAATAAAGCTTCCCCCTGTGGGTACTTGGACGGGTCAGGTGGAGGGGATTACATCAGAAGGGGGAGGGTTTCCAGTGGTAAAGTCCTGTTCTCACCCCCCTACTCCTGTGTCTTTATTGTGTTCATACGTCTTGGCTGAAGCTCTGCAAGAAGAGTTCAGGCCAGCCTTGAGAATGCTTTGGTTTCCATTTGAGAATTAATGGCAGTCTGAGGTGGAAAATGGCAGTGAAATGTGATTGATGGAGTTATGATGGAAACAGACAAATATCAGTAAACATGTCTAGACAGACAGGTGTCGGCAGGCATGAGAAACAGCTGTGACTAAACTCGGCTTTATTGACTTATTTAGCCTCCAGTCGCATTGGTTATTACTTTCAATCTCCAATCAGGGCCCTATTTCATACTTTTAACATGGTCGCCAGCTCTCAACAAACGCCGTTCTCTGTGTGCAAAGTTTTCCAGGGCGTGTTTATTTAGCCACGGAGTCACCCATAACAGGTTACATCTTTAAAAGTGAAAGATTGAACTGATTAAGAGCACAAAGTGTCACATGTTTACGTCTTAATAAATTCATTCACACCTTCAAAATTGACTCGCAGTGTGCCAGCTCTATTATGGATCTACGGCACTTGGTGAGATGAACATCTTTTCACTTTCGTCATCTCTGTTCCTGCAGAAAAGTCACATTGCAGACAGAAAAAAATGCAAGATGAAACCATGAATGCATAATGATGATGATGATAATGGCACTGATGATGAGGGAAATAGTAATGGCACTAGAAAAGCTGCAACAATAAATAGGAGCTGTACTTTAAGATAATACTAATAAATAGTAAAAAAAACAAACAAATCCCATCTGTACTTCTTAAAGTGTAAAAAAACAAATACTGGTTCACAAGCCTCTGTTAAGGTCATCTGAAATAAAAAAAAAGGACAGAGTAAAGCTCATCTATGCTCTTAGAACCAGAGGTAGTAAAGAGACTAACACATGAAGATACAGCAGTACTGGCATCATTCAAACACCAGCGTTTCACTCGATTAGTCACAATCGTTTACAAAAATTATCCAAAATATCTAAAATGGAAACGTAAAAGAGACACATGACAGACAGGATGAGTCAATGGCAGGATGGATGGATTGGCTCCTGATGTGTGTTTATGTGTGTGAGTAGCAGTAGCAGTAGCAGAAGAGTCCTGGTCCTGGATAGCTTCAGTATTTACACGTCCTTTGAATAAAGCTTTTCTCTCCGTATTTTTGGTTTTTGGTATATGGGATTTTGGTATGGTTGTCGTTTTTTTTTTTTGTGTATTCCTCCTCCGCCTCCTCCTCAGGTAAATTTTTGGTTTAAACGTATCGTCCCTTCTCCTCTTCCTTCAGACCCGCAGCTTTTCAAAATGATAAAAAGAAGGAAAACTTATGCACAGTCCTCCATTTATTTTTGTCCTTGCCGCCATTCCTTTGTCACATAGTAAAGTTAACTTTTTGTCATTTTTGGTTTATGCACTCCGACATGCGTCTCTTCAGCCTCTTGGTTAAAGAGTCATTGGTTTGTTTTCCTTCAGAGAGAAGGAGCGGAGAGATGCCATGTCGATTTCACGTGTTATTGACTAAAAGGTCCCACGCTGCCTCCTCTCCATATGTTTGGATAGATAAAGATTTTTGGTTTCAATCTTCCCCTTTCCCCCCTTCTCCCCTCTTTCACTTCCCTCCCTCCCTCTCTCCTCTTTCATTCTGTGTATTTTTGGCATCGAAAGACTGGGAGAGAAAGAGAGAGAGGAACATTGCGAAAAAAATTAACGGAAGAAGGGTGCAAGAGAGAGAAAGAGATAGCTTTGGTGTGAAAGGCGAGGTTCCTGTTTCCTCCTTCCTCCCCCTCTCTGATTGGCACTTGGCGCGGTCACTCAATCTTGGCCCCGCCCAGAGAGGGCGGGCTGTGTGCCATTTCGCTGGAGGAGCAGGAAAAGGCGGGGCTTGAGCAGGGGGAGGGAGAGCAGGGGGTGGGGCTGATGCTGCTGGCTGATGGGAAAGGGGAGGCCTGGGAGGCTTTGGCTACTGCAGCGCTGAGCAGTCCAGCGCCGGGGTTCTGACTCATGTGGAGTAGGGCTGGGTGGTTGAGGAAGAGGGAGGAGTGGAGGCCTGCCTGGCCCCCAGAGGCCCCCAGCATCACCTTACTGGCCCCCTCAAGACTAGAAAGAGGCAGCTGGCCACCACTGGCTGCTAGAGCTGAGGACAGGAGAGAGAGGAGAACAAAGTTACTCAACAATCATTAACAATATTTCAGAATTTAAATTATTTTCTTATTCATCTATTTTATTACTTCATTTATTTTCTGTCCTTGCAATCATTCATTCACTTATATCATGGTAAAGTTAACTTTTGTTATTAAGCTGTTGATACACAACACTTATGAGTAGTTGTCAATTATCGTCAGAGGTTCAAAATGTTTGCTATGATGGATCTGAAGCTACAGAATAATCTGCCTGAGAAGATCAGGTCTGCTGAGAGAGAGATCTCTTTAAAACCCGTCTTAAATTTTATTTGCAAAATTTGTCCTGATTAGGATTTTTTTTTTATTCAATTTCATGCTCTTTTAAAAGAATGATGTCTTTTAGAGTTCTTTTGTTTTAAAATAGATTTATTATTCCTTAACCCCTTGATGTGCTTATAATTGTATGACCCACCTGTTTGATTTAGCTGCCTTTGTAAAACACTAGGTTGGAGTTTTGAAAAGTGCTTGATAAACAAACAAATAATATATTAATACATTATGGGTTCCTGTCCGTTAACAACCCTTCAGGCTACCTCATCTACCACCACTCAAGTTAATCATTTCCTACAAAACACAGCAAGACAAAGCGCCTGAACTTGTTGCTTTCAGCAGAGGGAGGTGGGGAATAACCGCCAGCAGCTTTTTTTAAACAGAGAGCAGAGGGAGCGGCCACACTGCACTCAGAGTCTAGTTACTCAGTAAAAAAGTGCTGCACGCACCTGTCAGTCATTGAGTGAAGGTTTACAGGGGAGACAGTTGTTTGACAAACACAATTTTGAAAATGCCAATAAAGATAAAAAAAACCTGTTGTAACTGAAAATTGTCTGATATTTGTAGCTTAGACTAATTTGTGGGTTACAGCAGAGCAAGATGTCTGTTGTTATAGAAACAAGGTTGATTGGCTGTGAATGGTGCTTCATGCAGCATTTCTTAAACACACAGAATGCAGCCATATCATATTTTGTTATTATATTTTCTATTGCCTTGAGCTACAACATTCACATTTTCTTTTCTATTCTTTCTTTTTATTTTTTAAGGTAAAGCACAGAGCATCTCTTTTACTCTTAGCTCACAAAGTCTTGTGGGTGCAATGCGTTACGGTCTGTTCTGGCTACTTTAGGTGAAGAAGCTGTTATTTTTGCCTCCACAGAGATGGCTCTCTTGTTGGTGTGTATTGAAGCTCAAAGTGGTGTGAAATGGTGAGTCAAAAATGTAGCTCTTGTTCTGCCTCTGACGCAGACATTTAAAGTTGACGTTTAAATCATTTTTTTGGTATCATCGTGGACTTTTCTTGCGCACATTTTCATAGAAATATCAACGAAATCCTCCCAAAAAAAAACATCAGCCTCTGAGCTTTCCTGATACTGAACAACAAATGAGATGAGTGATGACATGAAGCGATGAGAGATGAGAGAGGCAACACAGACGCACATACCAAAACTTAGCCCACACATTCACGTAACCAAGATCACTAACAGACACACACACACACACACACACACACACACACACACACACACACGATGGGTTGAATTAATGGATGTCAATGGCAACAGATGAGCAATAAGGCCTTTTTTTGTTGATTCTATCTATGTCAGTTGCTTCACACTGGTGATGAGCAATCACCCTCCACTGTCTATCCACCCATATCTCCAGCCTGCAGTCTACCCGTGCGATTTGATTCACCTACCGTGAACTGTATTACTCATCACTCGTACTTCTTCTTTTTCATACATCTCTCTGCACGTCCTCACTCCTCACATTTCAGAGTATGATTAAAAATTAGCTCTGCTGACGCTGATGGGGACTATTCGGTGATCATTCTGACAGCATTGTACATGTTTTGTGTACCCTCTGTGCTGTTGTGTGAGGAGATGTGTGGTGTACAGTATGTATTTCAAGTGTGTATACGTGTGTAGGTAGATAGTAGCTAAGTTAGACAACAGTTTGTGTTTTAGAGGAGGAAAATGTATGCCCGGTGTGCGTGAAAGAAAAACTATTCCCTAGACATTCTAATGTATTCTGTGGCTGTAAGTTTTCACCACAAATTGAATCATGAAGCACCGCTGTAACTATGATATGACCTCTAGAATTAAACTCTCCCTATCTGTGATGCTGATGCTGAATTTGGTGTTTTTTTTCCCCCTCTGCAAAAATAAACCCATTTTAGTGTGTCTCTTTTCAATCACGCACACGCGCACACACACACGCACACGCGCACACACACACGCGCGCGCACACACACACACACACGCACACACACGCACACACACACACCTTGGATAGTAGCCAGGGGATTGTTACCGAGGAGGGCTTGGCTCATCCCTGTGTTAACTCCCATCACAGTGTTCCTGTTGTGTCAAACACACACACACACACGCAGCACCAAACAAGTGCAAGCATATACACAAACACAGACAGGCAGAAGAGAAAGGTGAGAGAAAAAAAAGCAGGTTTAGCAGCAAGGACAAGCAGAGGGCGAATTCAGCCCCGTGCACGCAAAGAGCTGTGGTCTGTTGTACAGGTGTAAACAAGAGGTTAGAAATGTAGAAAAACACAGAACACATCAGACATTTCAGAAACAACACCTCCATACAAGAAAACATCATTCTGTACTGAATAAGTGTGTATTCATGTTTGTGTATGTCGATGGAAGTGTCTCTGTCGCATTCACCTCAAGTTTGCAGCAAAATCGGTGATGTAGTTCGCCACGTCACCGTTCTTTTTACCCATACGCCATAAGCTGTGAACACAAGAACCACACACACAAACACACACAGGGTTAAAAAGCAGTGGGCACAGCAGGGAGCAGTGGTGCCCAATGGCATGTTAGGATATCAGTGTGTGCACGAGGGAAACAATCACTGTGTGTGTGTGTGTGTGTGTGTGTGTGTGTGTACAGTATCAAGAATTTAACTACGAACTGCAGGTGAACCGAGCAAAGAGCAGTATTCATGCTGAGTAAATCATGGAAATGTGCGGTTGTAGCGTTTGTGTTGTGCTTGTTTAATTGTTTGTAGAATTGTGGTGTCAAACAGACAAACAGTGAGGTTTTCATAATAAGACTCAGATGAATGTTACAATGTCACAACTGCTATAAACAAAGGGTCAGTTCGCCTGATCACATGAATGTATAGATTCAGGTGCTGCAGGTTTTGTTTCATTGATTTAGGTTTTGGAACAGCTCAGCCAATATATTTAAAACTAATGGAATTCAGGCTGAGAGGATTACAGCACTGAAAAATATGTCTGACCATCTTTACAACAACCACTAGGTGTTTGCTATTTAGAATAATTTCTATAGTACATAATTAACTGTTTTAAATTACCATTCAAATGTCTAATAGCCATATAAACACTCTAATAAGACTATTTAAGAAATAATAATTAAGAAAAGGAGTATTTATAATTGTATTAAGCAATTCCTCCATACTTAGAAAACTGTACTGTGTATTTTGTAATTTATCCAAACTAAACGTTTTATTTCTGGAGAAAGTTGTTGCTCTTAAAACTATAATCCACACCTCAAATTTAATTTGATTCACATCCACAAAAGTTGTGTTGAGGCAGATATCTCCGGCCATGTGTGTTTAATTCTAATGATGTGTTGTTTAATCTCAAGACTAGCGTTGAGTGTTTACAGTTGTTCTGAAAGGCCGCACTGAAAGCAGGATGAGAAGTGAGATGTTGTAGAGAGGTCTGGAGATTGTTTAAATGTGGGGATAACAGCTCACATTTTCAGATAGCTTCTCCTGCAAGACGTTTATAGTTTTGTGTTTTGTTGGAGAGGAAAACTTCAATCCTGCCAACTCTCTTACCTCACAACACCTGATCCCTGGTTGCATAAAGCGGTCTTAACTGTTTGATTGTCAGTTTCTAAAACAAATATTGTCAAACCCAATCCCACATTTCAACATCAGATAAAGGTGAGATGAGGCGATCTCAAGGACTTGCCAGATTTTTAACCGTCTGGCAATTGCTCTCTTTAAGTAAACTGGCCCCATTTGGCAACAGTAGACACATATCCTGAAAATAGATCCTGGAAGTAGAAAACTGAAAGAATATATCTCTAAAATGTAAAGGATTTTTACCCCGTGTTCAGGTTGAGTGTGCTGTGGCTGGGAGTGGCTGGGCTGCGGGGAGGAGGAGGAGGAGTCACTGGGGAAGGTGCAGAGCTAAGGGAGGGATGGGTGGAGGTGAGGCTGGAAGTCAGGGGGCAGACGGGGGACATGGTAGTCACTGTTGTGCTGAGACTGGTCACGGCCTGCGACAGCTGGCTGGACATCTGGCAGAGAGAGAGAGAGAGAGAGAGAGAGAGAGACATGTTCAGGTTTCTTAACTACAGGCAGTTCAATAACAGTTTATTATTTACACATTGAAACACACTGTGATGCATTTATTAACATTCAACTAACACATGTTAGTAGTGTCAGTGTTGGATATTCACCATGTGAGGGCTGTAGCAGGGTTGTTTGTGCGTCGTTGAGGCAGTGGGACCCTGGCTGGGCAGGGGAGGAGTGGCACTGGAGGGATTGATGCGTTTCTCTTTCTGCCTGCGGTTGCAGAACCAGACCCGGATCACCTCCTTCTCCATCGTGAGCTGCTCTGCGATCAGCAGAATCTCCTCTGAGGTAGGCTTCTGGTTCTGCAGGAAAGGAGGAGGAAACAGGGGAACAGACTTAAGATGCAGTGCTTTGTGTCAAACATGATGTAAAACATTCAAATCACAAAGACATGAATCATTTGTACTGACACACAGTAAACACCTGGCATTAAAAACCCTGCAGGGAAAAGACAGCAGAAGACTGAAGTATTAAAACAATTATTTAAAAGCTCATGCCATCGGAGCACTTTCAGTTGTTAAATAATAATAATAAAGAGGTAGGATTTAATAACTCCTTTTTGAATGAACAAATTGAGGTAATGTAGTGTACGACAATTTATTTTGTAAAGTATTACTATCGAGTCAAGTGTTAAAAAAGTTCAGTTCAATACAACTCAATAAGTTGTGCAGTTGTTACACAAATACACACATGGTTCTTTTTACATACTTAAAATGTATATTAGCATATTAGAACCAGTTATTATTCAAATATTCCATCTTATCTTAGATGATTGTTATATGGCCAGAAAATGAATCTATTTTGGAGCTTGTAATATTCATCCTTTTGAAAGCTCAGATGAGTAGATTGATGTTTAAAGAAATAATTTGTTTGATTATTACCGTCATGAATGCACGTTCCAGTGCCACTCGTACATTCGTCTCAATGCTGGTTCTCTTCTTCCTGCGTCGCCCAGGAAGCCCGTCAAAGCCTAAAGAGGGAGAAGTCAGGGAGCTGGGGCTAGGCAGGGTGCTGTCTATAGACATAGTCTCTGATGAAGAAAAACACACATACAATATGAATTCAATTAAGATCAGTTATACTCTCCAAATCTCTTCTTTTCCTATGATGATCTGAATGTAGCGAGGATTTTCTGAAGAGCGCTCACCTGCATCATTGAGCCACTTCTCCAGCAGTGGCTTCAGTTTGCACATGTTCTTAAAGCTCAGGTTGAGGGCTTCAAAGCGAGAGATTGTGGTCTGACTGAAGTCATTGCCGTACAACTTCCCCATGGCCAGACCAACATCTCCCTGTTGAAGAGAAAATAAGGAAGAGGTACAGTTTGACACAAATCCAAACCCAAAACATCATGTGCTAATGTTACCTGCACATGCACACAAACGCATCAGGTGTCTCTGCCTACCTGTGTGAAGCCCAGTTTGATGCGTCTCTGTTTAAAAGTGCGAGCGAACTGTTCCAGCTCCTCCAGGTCACTGGGCTCCTCGGGGTGAGTGGTCACAGACTGCACCGTGGTCATGCCTCCACCGCCGCTAACATCCAAACTTTTATCTCGCTTCAGCAGAGACAACATCAGAGGATTGAAAGTGAGACTGTGAGGTTTGTTTTGACTTAAATAGAGAGTGTGTTCTTTTTTTCCACTGACTAAAAGCTTGAAAGTTTCCTCCTACCTGTGCTTGGAGTCCCATTCTGGTCTGAGCAGACAGCAGGCTCCCTTGGTTTTGCTGAGGTAGCGAAAGAAGATTTGGTGTCGACAGGAGTCCTGATGGGAGGAAGAAAAAACTTGGTCAAAATTACTGTAGTTTAAAATTTGGATTTAAACATAAAATCACTGTCTTATGTTTGCAAAATAATACCTTGCTGGCCCTGCTGTGCCTGTGGCAGGAGGAACTGGGCAGGGGATGGGAGCGAGTGGCCGGGCACCAGCACCAACTGCTGAAGCTGCAGCAACTGCTGGATGTCCTGATCAACAAGAAATAAATCACAGATCAGAGATGCAATAAAAACAAACATAACGATAGATAGAGGTGTGAGAGACACAAAATTGCACAAGTGGGTCAACTTTTTTTCCACTGGAGGAGAGTTGCTGATTTGGAAGTACAGAGAATATGTATGTCCAATGTAGGTGGAACCACTTTGTTTTTGTATATTCATCAGAGAAAAAGGGAAAATGTGTTCATTCAAGGTGGAAACTGTGAACCATGAAACACACAAAAGACATGCAAGAAGAATTGTTCCATGGTTTAATACGGGTTACTCAATCAAGCCGCTCATCGGGAAGTAGCTGTGATTGGCAGGCAGTACCTGGGCGGTGAGCTGGATTGGCTGAGAGAGTGTGAGCTGGGGTGGAGGAGGAGGGACAGGGACACTTTGGGCTGTCTGGTCCTGTGTGCTCTGCCCGTGTCCCTGGGACTGCTGCTGGGCCTGCTGCCCTGTTTGTCCTGCCTGCTGCTGCTGCTGGGCTTGCTGATTTGCGGCTGCCTGAGCTTGCTGATTGGCCTGGGCGGCTGCGTGGGCAGCGTGAGCGGCATGGGCTGCACTTGACTGCTGCACAGCTGCAGCGAGGAGCTGAGCCTGAGCCTGCTGCAGCAACAACTGCTGCTGTGCTGGCAACAGAGCTGTCAACTGGCAGAGAGTAAAATAGAGGAGAGGAGAGGAGAGGAGAGGAGAAAAGAAAAGAAAAGAAAAGAAAAGAAAAGAAGGGAATGAACAGGGGGAGATAAAGGAGGAAATAAAGTTTTCATAAGCAGCAACAGAGAAGCAAGCAGAGTAAAAGCAAAAAGCAAAGTTTGTGTCCATGTGCATTTGTTGTAAAACTGACTTACCCCTGCTAGTTGGGAGCCGGTCAGCATGAGCTGTGTATGTTGCAGAGCCGTTTGTGAGGGGGTCGGTCCGTGAGAGAGAGGGAGGGCCGGGGACATCTCACCACACTCCTCCATCTTATTCTGTGGGGGAAACAGAAAAACAGATACCGAATTATATGTTGAGCAAAACAATAAAATCCCTCAGAAAAATACTCCTCCCTCTCCTGAAAAGAGAATTTACACTTGACCTCAGCAACACAATTAGCAGCCAGTGTAAAAAGCTCTCATGCACCAAAAAGTCAGACAGTGATAGAGAAAAAAGAAGTAAATATCTAAAAATGATAAAAAGTAAAATGCTATTCAAGAACTTCAAAAAGCCAATTAGAAGGTTGTACCTACTCAGACTTACCTTATTATTGTAATCTGTGGTGTTATCTCTGATTATCTCACATGTAAGCTGATCAGATATGTGTCTCTAGTTAGTCTCAGGCAATGAAAGCCCACTTGTGTCTCTTTTTCCTACACAAAGGGATGATCGTTTCTCCCCAGATCCGGCATGATTGAACTGGCATGAGGGGGACTCTTCCAGCTAACTGATTTGCATATCTTTGGTGGTATGCAAATGAGAAAGATCTCACTTTTTGAGGGAGTTGTAGCATTATACTTTCTTTTTTTTTTTTGTCTAAAAGTGCTTTGTGCATCATACTCCATCTCCTCTGTGTATATGTTTACATTGGATTCTGGGTGGGGAGTCGACACATTATGAACCTCAACGTTGTTGAGCACGACAAAAGAGCGATTGAATTCATAGCAGTGAATACAAAGCTGAGGCAGCTATACTGTCAATAAAGCTATTGTGTGACGTGAAAACACAAAAGATGCACAAACATTGGCCCAGACATACGCAGAGACATGCACAGGCAGTTAAGTAACATGGCACACATGAACAAACAAACACACACACACACACACACACACACACACACACACACACACACACACACACACACACACACACTCACCTTGCTCAGGTTTGGTGAAAGAGAAAACGGATTGACTTTCATTGACTGAGCCTGCAGGAGGAGAATAAAACACTTCAAGTGAGAATTTAAAACCCAAAATAATCTTAACTACATTCTATTTATTAATCTGTTTATTAAATGCAAAAGGTTGATACATAACACAAAATTATATATATGTATATTTTTTTAACATATTTGTGATTTTATAAGCAAATATGCAAATAAGCTTCAAACTGCTTAAATGTGAAGATTTTCTGCTTTTCTGTTTGGTTTCATTAACAATTATATATTCTTATATTTTGAGAGTAAAAAAGAAGATATCAACATGTGACTTTTTTCTCTGAGAGACAATTTGATACATATTTTTCTCTGTTTTTTTTTACACCATATATATTATTATGTATTAAATAAAAAATAAATGAAAATAAATCTTGAAGACAAACGAAACAATTAGCTCTAAAGAAAATCAGCGATGGTTTGTTTTCATTGGATCAGTCATGTAGGTGAACGTGAGTGGAAGATCATGCTAATAATCACAAGAGTCAGATGTACCTGGTGATTTGATTCAGGTCCATTCCGCTCTGAATCTGTGTGGGAGGTAAAGGAAAAAGTGAGAAACGATCACGTTTTAGAGGACTGAAATGACATGCTTAGAAAGTCTTTTGACACATCATATATACATCTCAAACAAAACAAAGGAACACATTTTTTAAATGGTGCACTGCTGATCTACTATTGGACTTTGTGAAGTCAAGTATTGTAAAAAATAAATAGAATCATTCACTGTATCCTTGCCATTACATTTAATAATTTAGTAATAAAAAATGTAATATATGTGATCCTTAAATTCCTTTTTAGTAGTGTACATCTGTAGAGATATTTGTATTTGCTTCCACTAACAGCAGCACATCTTACCTGTGCCCTCCAACGGTGAGTCCGCCCCCACTTTCTCCACCTCTCCTGGCTTTGACATCCTGATATCTGTAACAGAAACATACACACACACAAATAAGCAAGCGAGGTCCATTCTTAAATTTGTGTCGTGCGATCAGGAAAGTGTGCCCCGAAGCAGAATAATAAATGTTTGGAAAGAAGTCGATTAGAATCTTGATGACAAAAGGGGAAAAAAGGATGGTGAGGATGGTTAGAGTGTTTTCAGGTCACAGCCCGGGCCTACACACTGTACAATAAACAATAAGACTGAATCATTCACAAGTTCAATCCAACCCACATTCATTCATACTTTCCAAACCAGCGGTTTACATAGGAGTAGGTTGAGTAAAGGTGTTTGCTTGTTCTAAATTTAACTCATGTATATACGTGGGAGAGAGTCGGTGCTAAAAATGTCTCCTGTCGTGTGTCATTACAAGGCCACATCACTTCCTGGTTGATACTATAATGCAGCGTACGGCTGCAGCAGAGTTATGAGGTAGGCAAGACATGTAAGTCAGTGTATTCCAAAAAGAATTAGGTATTTTGGCAAAAAGATTCGAGATAATGGGAAGAAAATATGAAGTGTGAGGTTGTGTTCATGTTTCTATACTTGAGTGTGTGTGTGTGTGTGTGTGTGTGTGTGTGTGTGTGTGTGTGTGCAAAGCATCATTTGTTAATCAATAAAATCATCTCACTAAAAGTCATTTTTTGATTGCCCGAAACCAGAAAAACAACAATTTGTAACCTTTTTTCTCTCTCTTTTTTCCCTCTCCTTTACAAGAACACACACACACACACACACACACACACACACACACACACACACACGTACACACACATGTACACATACACGTACACACACAGCTACTTCCCTTTTGTGAAAACATGCAAATCTGCCCAACGACCAACTAATTATATCTGCCACCTGCATAATAAACTCTCAGTCTCCCTCCTCCTCTTTCTCTGTTGCCTTTAACCTCGTCCTGTAGTTTCAGTATGTTTTCCCTCTTATTGCAGATTTAAACAAACAGCCACGATGCATTGCAATTGTTCTGTCAGTTTTTTGCCGTCTTTCGTAATATTAAAGAAGAAAACAAAGATTTCATTTTTTGACTCTCTGTAATGCCGACCATAAAGCGGTCGAGCACTATTTTCACCATTGGGGGGCAGCAGTGACACATGAAGAGCATGAACAACTGACCACCTCTGCCCTGATGCACGTTTCGAAATATCAAAGCATCAGTTCAGTGCAACATTTATTAAGCACAAAAAACCCCTTACAGATATAGTCAAAGATTAATCCAACAAGTGTCTCTCATCACAAAGGCGTTTCAGTTCTCTTCAGCTCAGTTAAGAAATTAAAAAGCTTTTTGAATGAGAGGGAAAAAAAACAAGATTTCAAGATCTTTAACTCAAAACGAGTAACCTTTAGAGACTTAACTTCGGATGGCCATGACCTGAAGGTCATCATCTCTCAGATAATAGACACAGAAACATGTCTTTCTTGTTGAACAATTAGGAAAACAGTGGACTTTGGTAGATACAGCATTTTAGGGAAAGGGGGTTAGCTGAACAGTTAACAGTTAGTTAACAGTTAGCTGTAAAAGCTCCTCTCTGCTGTCACATTATAACCCGGAGTCAGGGAATACACACACACACACACACACACACACACACACACACACACACACACACACACACACACACACACGCACGCACGCACGCACACACACACACACACACACACGCACACACTAAATGACCGCAGGATTTTCTTCAAATAAACGGACTTCTGCAAAAAGTTTAATTTGGTCAGGGCTGTGTGCATGCAAAATATCTGGTCATTGTATTATTAGAGTCAATTTGTGGTTTTCCCAACGTTATAAATGGCTACGTGTTACAGGCCAGTCCACAGTTGCATAATTTTCAGTGAAACTCACTGAATCTGCACTAAAATGTGTGACGTCTTCTGCTCAGGATTAACATGTTTAAAACTTTCTAGATTGATATACAGTATTTATTTATTAAAAGTTGATCTTATATTTAATTGGACTATTTTGTGTTATATGTTCAGTTTTCAGCAGCAAAGCCAAATCTACCATATAAAATGATTGTCCCTCTCATAAAACAGCTGCAAGGTGATGTTCCCTAAGCGCTGCCTCTTGTACAGTACCGGCCGCTCACGGGCGAAGGTGTGTATTGATTCATGGCTCAAAATGGCCTACAGACAGAAGCATGGTGGATAATGTGGTCAGTAATACAGTAGTGGGACAGTATATCAAGATGCTGTGTCTTTTTCTCACTTCCCCTCCCGACTTCCCCTTGTACCGGGTTGAACGCAGAGTGCTAAACCCAACACTTACTGTCAGCGTGGCTATTAATATTAGCCTGCTCTCTCCCTCTCTTTCACTCTGTCTTACAAAACCATGCCTCTCTTCTAAACACACCACCCATGCACAAACACACAACTAGTTTCAAGAGCAGAGTAACATGTTATGAACATCTTAACATTTTGAATTAATAATTAGTATGAAATAAGGAGGGAGATTCTTTTGAGCAGCGTCTCCTTTTTCATCTTGGGGTAAAAAAATCAGACTTTACGAGTACAAGGTTGAATTACTATGCCTGATGTGTCCATCATTAATCTGTTACAGGGTATGCTAATCTTACAACAAAGCTTTGGGTTTATCTCTGACCTGGTGGGACACAAGAGCTAAAACACACACACACACACACACACACACACACACACACACACACACACACACACACACAGTATCTTAAACAGAGCAAATGAAATGCTGTATAATCCTGTGTCATGAATAAATGATGCAACAGAAATGAACATGAAACAACAGAGTGTGTGTTCAGTCTGGACTGTTTCTGTTATTCTCCTCTGGGTATTTTGGCTGAGATGAAACTTTGCTGCAACTACCCCCCCCCACTCCCCCCTTCCCCCCTTCCAACAACCCAAACTCCACTTCCTGATTCTGGACAAGCCCAGTACCAAAGGAGGTTGTCTGGGAACTGGAGTCATCATGTATAGTAAGTACGGATTTA